GCAAGCTTGACCACAGATCTTATATCTAGAAGCTTCGCATAAGAGTCTGAGTCTGCAGCGCGAAGTGTCAGCCTAGAAGCTTCGGTGCTCGGCCTAGAAGCTTCGGTGCTCGGCCGGCCATAAGCTTAGTCTCGAAAGCTTATCGGACGGTTCCCTCGTACGCGGTGCACGTGGGTCTTATCGGACGGTCACGCGTACCGTAATTCGGTGTCGTATAATAACGAACGATGCGCGGCCGCATATAGGCGTGCGGCCGGGAGTCGGTGCGCAGTCGTGCCGTTACATCCATAAATGATGTTTCGGTGGGTCCGATTTGGCTATTTAGAGGCTTTGCAGGGCGCGTCGTTCTACAGACAAGCGAAGTTCTCTCTAACATCACTTACGCTCTCATGTTGTGCGTCACAACGTTTTGAGGACACGATGACGGTGAGCGGAGTCTTCTTGAGAAGCATCCGCCCGCGCCTTACTCCTTGCTTTCGTTCTACATCGGAGAAGTCTAGTCTGCAAATCTTACAGAAAGGTGCAACGTCTTCTTCAGAGTAGTGCTCTCGGATCCGAACATTTTCGTATAGTTGAGAGGGGTGACGGGAGGGGTGACGAAGAGGAGGAAGACGAAAAGCGAGGGGGAAGAGGAGAGAGAGAAGAGGACGAAGCGGGATTTCGAGTGGAGGATAAGCGTAGCTTTTTGTTGTTCAATACTACATTTAGGCCCATGTTATCAACTATTTTCATTTTGTAATAGACTCATGCTCGTCCACTCTACTCCTCATCATTCTGTTACCGCACACAACGCTCTTCTGCACTATTATGGTGAATTCGAAAGCCGACGCCCTTCTCAAGTCAAGCTGGGCCAATCTCGAGCACAAGGGTTTCCATTGCCATGAATTAAGCAGGGTTTGGAATGCGCCCAAATGGCCTCATTGCAAAACGATTCGTTGCGAATGAGAATTAAGAGGCCTACGGCTGATAACGACGAATGAAGGGAATCCGTCCTGCCATGTAGTGCATAAGCGTGCCGACCGCCTTCCGATGTTGCACCTTGTGCACACATTTTCGTACAGGAGGCTTCCCACTCACTCGACGGTTGTATGGAAACCGTTTCGTAACGAGAGGCTCACCCTTCCCCGTCGATTTGTCCCCCCGGTTCAAAAGAAATGCTTTGCACCCGCGCATCTGCTAGTCTGCAATTTCCGACCAACTCTAGCGTCGGCCTAGGCATTGCATCAGCCTCTGGAATGTGCGTTTGCTCCATCCTGGGAAAGTACAGTGCCCCCCTCAAATGGCGCATGTCGATTTCTGCGCCTTTGGCAACTTTGTAGTACGCTCATGTTCACAGTGCAATGTGAGAGAAGATTCGCGCGTGAAAATGTCTTCTAAAAGCAAAAAGGCAGAGAGGTGGCTGAGATGCAATATTGCGAAAAGATACTAGAATTCGGTGATAATAGGCAGTCGAATTACTGTGTGATTAGGGTTCGACCCATTAGGGTTCGTGTAACGG